TCAACCGCCCCCCCCCCCTCCCCCGCCAGCATTCATTCGCGCCCCTCACCCCCGTCATGTGGCCCGTCACCAGTCAGCGGGTCACTAGGGGCGCCAGCTGACGACCTCTGCCACTGACCATGCCTGTTACGATGGACTCGGTACCGCGCTCAAAGGCTCTCAGACGGCTTGTTATTGCAGCGGCCCGGTATTCTCCTCTCCATGCCAATGCTACCTCGTCTCGGCGCCCACAAAAACCGGCAAGGACGCGCCACGGCAAACAGGACGCCGCCGCGTTCTTGCAGTCCCATGCTAACGGTACGGGCAATACGGAAGACATCAAAGATCTGGGGTCGAACGACGCAAGGCTTCTCCGCTGTCGCTGTTGCGTCCGAGACCGGCGAATGGTGGAGTATCACGGCCCCCCCCCCCCCCCCTTCCCCCCCGGAAAGGCAGGCCTGGCTCTCACGGGTTCGTTGGTTTGAGCTCACAGATGGAACGATGCACTGTGACCGTGTGACCGTGTGACCGTCGATTATTTGGTGGTTGTGTTTTTAACTGCTGCTGGGTTTAGGGCCTGTAAGGAAGCACGGATAAACGAGGGGGAAGGAACAGGGTGAGAGGGAATCAGGGAGAACCATCTTCAAGGAATAAGGAAGGGAGGGAGGATGGAGATGTGGATGAATGGAGGGTGAGTGTGTCAGGGAGCGTTGGGAGGAAAGGGGAAGAAGAGAAAAGCAAGGAGGAGGAGAGGGTGAGAGAAGTAGAAAGAGAGGGAGAGAGAGAGGAGAGGAGAGAGAGAGAGAGAGAGAGGAGAGAGAGAGATGAGAGAGAGATGAGAGAGAGAGAGAGAGAGAGAGAGAGAGAGAGAGAGAGAGGAGGGAGAAATGCATGAACAGGCAGAAAGGAATATGCTGAAGTAGACAGGTAGGCAGACAGTTGCCATCGGTCCCGACTCCGCCTTGCGGTGCATTGCGCTTATTCCGAACTCGGAATTCGGAATCGGAATCGGAATCGGAAAAAGGAGTGCAATTCGGAGTTCAGAATTGGATGAAATGCGACTCCGACAAGGTGAAATGTGACTTTTTCAAAAACAGACTTACAGCAGGCCAAATCCGGTGACCACACATCAGGATATGAATCGCGCTGTGGGCTACAAAAGCCTGCATAGGATATTTACTTTTAGAGTAAGATAGCAAAACACCTGGTATTCCATACGCTGCGTGTAAAGATATGGTCAGTACAAAACCACATGCTGGTATTTTACGTGTACTGGGGTAAATTCAGCGATAATTCAAGCCAATAAGCTCTGATCCCCTCTTACCCAAACATTTCACGAATTTATTCAGCCTTAACTCAATGAAAATTGAGCTTATTCCGGGTCCGACTCTCACTTCTCTGGACCCTGAATCGACGACCAACAGAACAACCAAAAATGCTGCTATTTCTTATCGCAAGCTTGCTTGCATGGCTGCCAGGAGCGGCGTTCTGAATGCACAAGATACCGTCCGTGCGCGAAGTAGATCCTCATGCAGTATCTTCATGAATCGATTACCGAGCCCCGGGTGCACCTGCAGCCGGTGAGCAATTGTGGCCGTACTGTTCCTAAACCCACAAGTATCTCCTCTCCACGAGTTGTCGCCTTCCAACAAAGGAGGCGAGGTGCACAAGGCGGGCTGAAGCGCCCTGCACGTGGCACGTAGAGGTACCGGTTGCGGCAGCCTGTGGCTGATACGAGCGTGACGTGATGACTTGGCAATGCGCCTCGAGGCCGTCCGGTCTCGGCTATTCTCGGTAGTTGGTGTCACCAGACGTGTGGCGCCTGATTGGCGGCAGGGACATTGTTAGACAGGCTGGTGTGTCAAACCTGCTGCAAAGACCCTTGTCGGTCCAATGTTCTTTACACTTGTGTTAATCTCAACCACGTCGGTCCGGCGGTCGGCAGACGCTCCACGCTGTATGCTCCACGCCTCACTAAATACTGTATGGTGGCCGTTGTATGCTATTGTATGCTCTTGTTCACCTCACTACATATTGTATGGTGGCCGTTGTATGCTATTGTATGCTCTTGTTCACCTCACTAAATACCGTATGGTGGTGCCAAGCGCTTGAATGAACGGCATGCAACGGCGGAATTCTACTGCCGCGTTATTCCAGTTCGTTGCAGCTTAGCCGTCTGATAAAGCACTAGGTGCCAGCACAGCCAAATTATTTTAATGCGGCAGCGAAATAGCAAAACGACTGCGCTGTGCTCGTTTCAAACAAACGAGCGAACAACCAGGAAGTGCCACGCTCGGACTCCATTTCGTGTTAGTTCACGGCCGTTACCAGGATGCTCGTGAGAGAGTCGGGTGACTCGGGCCGGGCTGCCCGCGTAAGCTTCACAGCTGTCCATCGTTTGCGCACCACTATTCAACAGCGGTGCGTTAGGAACCAGCTGGGTGTAGACGTTGATCCATATTGCGTCAGTAGATCAATGGATTATCGAATCTTTTGAGTCTTGGTGGGCGGGTGTAGCCATAATTTTTTCATCCCGAAGTTTCCTTTAAAGACATTAACACCCGCTTAGGAGAATAACTTCGGCCAAGGCCCACCGCAGCGGCACGTGTCCCTGAGCTGGGTTGGCTCCCGTGCCGCCGCCGCGTCCACGCCATCACCTCCGGGCCTCTGGTGACGTCACCGCCTGGGGCGGGCTGCCAGCCAGGCCGGGTTGCCCCTGAGGCGCCGCGGACTCCCGCTCTCCCGCTCCGCGCCGGAGCCGTGGCCGCCGCGCCGCTAAGCTCAGCTGCCGTCGGCACCGCCGGTCCGCCGTATCAGATAGTCTGGGGCCCGTCGGCCGGTCAGGCGGCTTCTGCACGGCAGCTTCGGTGGGCGCGCGGACTGGACGCTGCTGTTCCGGTTTGTGCCCCGCGTGCTGCGTAATCAGGCTTTTCCTATGGCGGCCGTGGGGAGGGGCCGGCCGCCTTGTGGCTTCCAAACGACTGGCGTTTGGTGGCAGGGAGGCTGAAGAGACAGAAGTAAAAAGTCAGCATTAAGAGATAGCCGTAATGGATATTCGCTTCTTCTGCCATCACCGTGACAACAGCTGTGGCACCCTTAATGCTTTGTGTTTCAACGAATTGACGCATGCGCATCTGGATGCAAAAAATCAAGCAATGATCCAAAACAGGCTGCTTTTTCAAACTGGTTGGCGGGGCTGAACAGGCGAGGTTGACCTCACCTAGGCTCAAAACATGATTCCTCCCCGGATTGCGGCCTCTTATATTTGCGTTTTGATGCAAAGGACAAGTTCTATCGGCCTTTGACACGCTTGTTCTGGTTTTGATTTTTGAGTTGTCCCACTCTTGCTATGCGCAAGCCTGCGTATCGCGATCATGCCATTGTGCAAGCCTGCGTGACGCCAGCGTGCGATTATACAGTACTGATGTATCGTTTAACGAAACATCAGGTTCGCAAAGAAGTAGGAGGCATGTGAAGCATAGCACAATGTCTGTGCGTAAAGTTCCTGTTCACAGATTGTCCGCTATCTTGTTTTGCCTATATCCTTTAGGAAGGGTGCTTAGAGGAGCATTAGTGGAGTTTAATTCAGTACTGAAGTGCAACCCCCCCCCCCCACAAAGTGTTTAAAGTGACACTCTGTGTCAATGATCCCCGTTCGTAGACGCCACAGTGGCCACAAACTTGAATCGCAGCGCCCAGCTTACTCCGTGGCCTGGGCCAGCCGTTTCCCAGGGTTTTGGAATGTTTGAAGTGAGATAGCGACATCCGCCACCAGATCAGACTAAAAATATATACTTTCGGCAATCAAGATCATCACAAAACCATCCCATTCCAGTGTCAGCTCAGATCATTCCTCGAAGTTCCGACTAGCGTTTCGTTTTTAGTGTTCAAATTTTAGCTCCATGTCGGGGCAAGATCCGGTCAAAAGCTGTCTGTTAAATTACATTCCATGCGACCTTATGATCGAATACAACGGCATGGCGCTACGTGTACGACAATACAATATGTGTTTTACACTATATACCCTGTGTCCGTACGTACGTGCTCAGTGTGGTGGGCATGTGTTCCTTGCTTTCTTAAAGAATACTGCGTGTTTTCTGCCTTGCAACCTCCCACATTGAAAAATGTTTGCCGTATCCGAAAAAGATCCAGGAGATCCACTGTAAGAATTATGTAAGCGAGTGGTCTGTTGTTTCGTGACAATCTAATTGGTTTTAAGCTTTCTACCCGCGTTTGTTGTTGTCGGCACGTGCTATGTACTGCCTTAACCCAACAATGCTTTTCTGACCCCAAGAAATTAAACTCCATTATTTTCTAGAGGATGCACTGCTAGATTTGTTTGAAGTGTCACGAAAAATTTCAATAGATTCTTACAAATATTAGGAGTTCATGCAGTACCAGCAATGGTTTCTAAGTGATGTGACGGACAGTATATCAATCGATGGACAAAAGTATGCCAACGTTTACTCAAAGACGTAGTCGGAGGCATAGACCTCATAAAATATATGTATATAATTCTGCGCTGCTCAGATCCACGACGCGTGGCTCAGTAAACACGAGACATCTCAGAATCAAGGAGCGACAGTCGCGACCGTGTTCTACACCAGGCGAATACGAGAGAATCTCACAGGGCCCCACACATGGCACAGCGAGACGAGCAACGGCTCGCGCGACCCCTCCCAGTCTCCACCACATTCTAGCGTAGGCAACAGATCCTTGTATTCAAGGATGTGGTTTCCTATTCAGTTGGAGGCGGCGGAGACGCGCCCTCTGGTTCTGCAACTTTGAGAGGAAAGAGAGTCAAAGCTGCGAAGAAACCCATTTTTTGTTTACTTTGGGAGCTTATTCGGCACTTTGTCTGCTCAGCCCCTCCCCCAACATATTTTACGAGACTACGCCTCTCTCGCCAATCCGGCAAATCCGCCTCTCGGTCGCGGTCGAGCCGAGCCGAGCGCGATCCGGCGGCAGAGGCTCCTCCCCCGGTGCCGGCGCCTGGCACCGAGCGGGTCCGGTAAGCCGGCTCGCGCTGCCGACGACGGCTTCACTCCGGCCCCGCGCCTGCATCACACAGCACGGCATCACCATGAGCTCCCTCGGCCTGCTGTGGACGGTGGCGCTGCTGCTGCTGGCGGGAGTCAGCGCGCAGGAAGGTGAGAAGTTACACCGGTAATGGGCGTCACCGCACATCAAAGTGAGAGGTTGCACTGCTGTCGGGTGTCACCGCTAAAAAAGGTGACAGGCCTTATTGCGGATGAGATATACCGTACAGGGGGGTGAGAGCTTACCTGCCTATGGGTGACATCGCTAATGAAGGTGAGGGATTCTCCCACTGATGGATTTCGCCGCACAGGGAGCTGGGAGATCAGTGTTAAAGGGAGTCGCTGTTCAGCCGTGTGAAACTAGTCACTACTGTAGTACTCAGCCATTGGCCTGCCGAGGTCTGCGCCGCCCAGTTCTGGCCTAGCCCGCCAGCTGGGCTCAGCGAGTAGCAGCCTTCGAACCGGCAGCATGCGAGTCACGCGTCGCGCCAGCCGCTGATGGCGCAACGGCGCGCTCTTCGGACTGGTTATCCCCGTCCCTCCACCGTGCCCCGCCGCCGCCCAGGATAAACTGGCCACGGATTACGGATTCAATATTAGGGATTAGGGTTCGGCTTTGTCGGTGTGCGGTGGTTGAGGCCCACTGTCGGCGCCGCTCCTTTGTGGCGCCGGCTGGTGGCGAGGCATCGGAAGGGCCGAAAGGTGTTACGCCATTACCGATCCGAGGCCGTCCGGGGGCCGCAGCTTACATGGCTGCACGCGGCATATGTATTCATGAAGCATATGCAAGCCCTGCCGCTGTGGAGCTAACACAGGCTTAGCAGTAATGTACCTACTCACGCCTGCACCGCAGCTGCATCATGTCTACAGAGCAGCGTGCATTGCTTTTGGCAGCGGGAATAGTGGTCAGAACGGGCTGACCCGCATCCAAAATGATGATGTTCAGTGAGTGCTGTGGATTTTGGCTGCTGATGAGTACTGGCTTATCTCAGTGCGGCGCCGATAAGTGGGCCAAACTTTTGATAACATCACAACTTCGACTTGCTCGACAGGCTCTCGTTGCACAAATGTTGAACTGTGTCATTGGGATATTGTAAAAGGATGGCAGACATATAGGCTGGTTATATGTGTGCTTGTGTGTAGGACTATTCGTATGAACCTATATATGTTTTAATGCCCGGTACGCATTTTTGCGCGATGCCGGTCATGTGTATAATACGTCTGTACGTCATTGATCTTCATGCATTGCGGCAATCCGCCAACACTTATACTGACACCTCAGAACACGCGTCTTACTGCCCGTTGGGACCCATCTTAACGTGGCGGGAAGCTCGAGCTCTCGTCACTTCCTAATGTGATCAGTCACCACAGAATGGCTCCATCCCAAAATAACGTCCCACCGCGCTGGCGCCATGTTAATCGGCTTAAGGCGAGACGGTAGCCGGAGGGGCCCGTGCCCGGTGAGTGCCTCGCCCACGGGGTGTCGTGAGTTCGTGAGAATCAGACTACGGGCCTCGTCAAGGTGACCCCAGCTATACAACGCACTGTCTACCGGGGGCCCCGCTCCGAGTTCAAGGTTACCCCAGTACTACAGCACATTCTTCAACAGGCTCTTCTCCGAATTAGCCAACATTTTTGCAAGCAGGCCAGTCAAAAACCAGAGCAGGCAGTCGTCAAGAGACAAATGCGGCAAGAAACTCTAAAAGCCACGAGCTGGTGGTGTTTGGGTAATGGGCGAGTGTTCATACTGCACACTCAATGTGTTTTTGCGCCCGCCGCCAAATGCCGACGGACGGCTGTCATCGGTTTCTTTATCCGCTGTCATCCATTGACTTTTGTCTACCGGCCATCTTAAGTCCCTTTTCGTTGTCATATATGTAATGTATCACACTCTCGCCGCCCCATCCACGATGCCACGCCCACTGCCTTACTCCCTGCCGCAAAGTTGTTGCCACACATTCGCTTTCACACTTACCCTGCCACGCTTCCTTTCCTACACCTCCTCTGGCATAGACCCGCTGCTACACTCCATCAGTCAATCCCACGCTGCTACACTCCATTTGTCAATCCCACGCTGCTACAGTTCATCCGCCACACTCGCTGTCCCGCTCATTCTCTGCCACACGCTCACTGCGGGGACGGACGCCGCTGATCGTCGGTCGCTGTTCCAGAGAACGCGTTGGAAGAGGAGAAGTTTGACAAGCCGCCGCCGCTGTACCCGGGCGAGGTGGAGATCTTCAGCGACCAGCCGTGTCCCAACGGCCTGTACGCCGACCCCGACCGTCCCACCAGCCCCAACACCAAGGTCTGCGTCGAGGCCCGACTCAGTGAGTGAACGCCATCGGCGCAGGTCTCCACAGTGCATTGCCACTCAACTCGCTCTCAGAGAGCTGAGACGCCACTTCGCTAGACTGGACTGGACTGGAAATGACTTGACTTGACTTGACTTGACTCGACTTAGCTTGACCTGACTTAATGTTTAACTTGATGTTGAAAAAGCCCATGTTTAACTTTCTGCCAGGAGCATTGCATGGTAACAGCGGCGCGTGCACAGTCCACTCCCCAGTCTCTTGGCTGCGCCCCTGCTGCGGCATGCACCACATGGGGACGGGGCTGGGTTGACGCCTGCGCAGGATGTACCTCATATGTTCGGCTGGAATGTCCTAAGAAGCATGAGGCGGAGGAAATCCCTGGCTGGGGCCGGCTGGAGGGGAGCGGTGACCGCAGGCAGCCGGGGAGTGCACGCCGGAATGGATGAGCTGTTCCTGTCTACTCATGGCGAGCGGGCAGGCGCCCTGAGTCCAGCCTCGGCATGTAAGCATGTGCGTTGTAATGCGTGAAGAAAACGACATTGGTGGCACTGACCGTCTCACTCACAGGTGTGAATGTACTGATGACGTCTGGCTTTCGCTCTGCAGACTGCAAGGACGGGGTCACCTGGCAGAGCATGTGCAACACCTGCACGTGCTCTAAGGGCACCGGCAAACTAGGAGTCATCAAGTGCACCAAGGAGGACTGCTACGACTTCGAGCTTCCGGAGGAAAGTAAGAGAGTATGCTGGAGCCCCCGCGGGCGGGAGGCCCCGTCATTTTAGGCTTATATAGCTTCGCTACTTCTCGGGAGCATGTTTAAAATGTTACGCTCAAATCATAAAAGGAAGGTACTCTATGTTGTATGTGCGTCGATAGCTGAAGCCATTACATTTCATGTGGTTGTTAAAGACAGGTGAAAATAATATTATTCTTCAACTGGCACCATATCCTACCGTGGCTTTAGGCAAGCCATTCTGTAACTACCCAGATTTTTACCAGAATAGATCGATCATCAGCGTTGAGGAGGAACAATATGACTGCAACAAGCGCGCATTCGTATATTCGTTCGATGAAACGGAATATACAGAAATGAATCATGAACCCGAGTTGATAAGATCCCCAAATATCCCTGCCTGGTGGATAATAAGCTAGCGATGATATCACGAACTAACTTGATCGTGAGAAAACAAATCACCAAAATTGCTTATGTAATGAGATGAACATCTGGAAACTGCTACGTCTTTGCCTAGAAGTTGTATATATATATATATATATATATATATATATATATATATATATGATTGACGTGCCACCTGTTTTGCATCCGATGCAATGTATCTTCACATCATTTACCTTTTGGCTCATAACCGTGTGCTAATTCAAACAAACGTTATGTTTAAACTTTTCAAAGGAACCAGCTGTTTCATTTCGTAAGTTACAAACAACGAAACCGGCCCAATCGGAGTCGATCCTGGAATTTTGTCGTGTCTCCTGCAGTTTACTGTTATATTGTCGTGTCTCCTGCAGTTTACTGTTATGTTGTCACACTGATAGGAACGCCAGAGCGACAGAAAAACCGCGCATTCACTCCAAGGGGCTGTCATACACTCGTTGGTAACATTCTTCAACGGCCTTGATATCTGCCTTTAAGACTTATTGGTGCAGAGTAACGACTGAGCTCCAGCGAGAAAGAGCTGAACATGAAGCGTGGAATGGAACGTCGTGCGCTTTCAGAGTCGTCCCCGTACACAACGCTTGTTCTTTTATGCGATGTAATGTAGTGCAATGTTCTTGGTATATGTACAGAGGCAGTAAACTGTATTGCGAGCGTGACGGACTAAATTAGTTGTCAAACGGGCCCATGAGAAACCGTTACTAATTGTTTTCAGGCGAGGACTAAGGGTGGCTATTAGGAAGCTGCAGCTCGTCTGTGAGGTTCCGATAAAGTCTCGACTGAATCAGTGCATTGCTCTTCGTGTTTTGCCCTGTTCTTGCTGTGTGTGGTTCAGCTATTAGAGTAAAACAGTTCAGGTCACAAAATCAGATACCGTATTAAACCGGAAGGCCAAAAGCTTGTTCTTTGATGTGGTCTTCCGTTCAAATTTCGGAGTACATGACACATCCATTCATGACCTAAACTGCGGAATTTTAGCTGAAAACTATGTGGAGCCCCTGCTCTTGGGGCCCATTTTTCATGGCCATCAGATGGAATATTTATCCACCGTCCTTTCGTTTAATCAGACTTTCAAATACATGGCTTTCGATGAAACACTGAAACTGACCGTTTGCTGAAACGAAGGCTACATTGCGATCATAGTAAGACGTTTGGTATCCGTATGGCTCCAAATGAGGCATGCCAAAGTCCTGATCTGTCTGAATCTAGGATTAGCCCCGTAAACTGCATGAGGCTTGCCTGATGTTTGCTTCTAAGGAATGCAGCCCTAAGCAGATCCGTTGGGGCGACTGAAATGGCGACCTCATGCGTGGCTGTTATAATGTGCACCCGGTGCTAGATTGTTGGCTGACTCCTATTTCTTTGTGACACGGGCTGTCCTTTTGGTGACCGGGCAGTGATTACATGGAGCGCATTGGTTTCGCCTTTCCAAATCGTAAGATATGACTGTTCCGCCGTGACGCGCATCGCGGTAGCTCCGCACGTGCGTTGTGGGTGACAGATGACACACGGACTTCGACAAAACCTGAGGGGTTTCCGAGCCTTCATGACTGCTTAGCGCAGATCTCAGGACAACGATGCAGATCCAAGTAAGGTACCCACACTCATGAAAGAGACACAGTGTGATAGAAATCCAAGACCCCGGGACACCACAGGCAGACTCTCATGTGATTACCAGGGACGTCCCGGTCCTCATCGCTCGGACGTCTCTGAGCGTTCAGCGATTGGTGCCGGCACACCGACGAGGGTACTGGCGCCGATGTCAGAGGAAAGGCGATGCCGATCTCAGATGGAAGGCGATGCCGATCTCAGAGGGAAGGCGATGCCGATCTCAGAGGGAAGGCGATGCCGATCTCAGAGGGAAGGCGATGCCGATCCCTCGCGTGACAGCACCAAAGGGCTATCACCAGTTTCAGAAAACTGGCGGTGCCACCGATTCCAGAGAGGGCTCTCCCACTTCCCCCTCCTGCAGTTTGCATGTCCGTGGTGACCTTGGCGACCATTCCGACTGCTGACCCTGGCGATTTATCGGCAGATCTCGGCAACAGCAACTTGTGCGGCGACGACGTGTCTGACTGCCCTGACGGCTGCGGCTTTGTGCGTCGCGACCACCGCTGTGTCTACTGCCAGTGCGGGGGTTCGGAGCCGGAGCCGGAGGAGCCCGCTCCCAGCGAACCGGCCGAAGAGGAGGCCGAATGAGGTCGGATCGCGTCCCGCCGATGGCCAAACTTTCGCGTGTTTTGATTTCCCATGTGTGTCATTTCAGTATTCAGTTCGCTGAGGATTAAATACATGCCGACTTCGTCTCTGCAGGCTGTTGGTGTTTTGGGGATGAGGAGTCGTTGGGGTGACGTCCAGCGGTGTGGAGATGAGCGATGATAATGGCTGGGTTTTACGTAATATCATCGGCATGCTGGAAATCTGCCAGACCACAGACATCCGGCATGTGCAAAAACACTTGGCTGGACCGCGAAGGGAGCTTTCAGCTTATGACGTGCTGGGTGTGACAATATCGAAACTGGGCTTCGTTGGTGAAACCGGTAATGTTGCTTGCCTTCCCTTGTTTCCTGTACGCCAGGTGCATGATCCATGGCTACAGCAACAATTGGCACATAGCCACAGACAATGATATCAGGTTTCACGTATGGAAATACCGTATGCGACACAAAATTTCCGGCCGATTCTTACATGATTCACTTTGATCCAAACAAAGCCGCAATACTTTGTCTCAGGTAATGCACGTCGTCACAAAAGCAGAGATGTAAGGTAATGCAAATCGCAACAACTCTGGGAACGTAGAGAAACTTCGCGCAAAAATTATAAAACCTCAGTATTTTAAACATAAATCAGGACATTCGCCAAGCTAAGCCAAATTTATTGAAATGGAGCGCGGTGTGAAATAAGGCAGCAATTTCGAAAAGGTGCATTTCCAAAGGTGCGTACACCTCACTGGCTAGCAGGCTGTTGTGCTAAGTCGTCCTTGCTCCACGTTCCTCACACTGGCGAGAAGAGCCCGTCTCCAAGTCATAATTTGCCAATCGGAATTGCATTGCAGATTTTTCGGGCTTTCACTTTCGAGGAAATTGCCGTAAGGATCATAATCCGCTTCATGTTTGCGCCTCCTTGCCGACAAGAAGATCTCCTTCTAGGGCTGCAAACCGGATTTCGTAATGGCACGGGATGCAGTTCAGGTTTGCGCCGAGTCCAGGTTTCAGTTGGGGCCTCCGAGGCTTCAGTTCGGGCCTCTGAGCTGTGCCTGCCGTGAGCGGGGCCACACCTGCGGCATGGCCTCCAACAACGTAGTGTGCTCTCGGTTTAACTATTGTTCACATCTATTCTGGCCTGTTTATGTTGGAATGCATATGAGTCAGTATCAATTCACGCAATAACTTTGAAAAGGTTAGGGCATATGCGCCCGCCGCCTGTTACCATGCGAGTGCGTGCCCGCGCGGTCCCATCCAAGGCCGCACTGAGCTGGCATCTCTGCCAATGCGATTCAAGCCTGGTGCAGTTGACGTGCTCACGTTCCCCTAGGCGATCTGGGGTGCGTCGCGCTTTCTGCTGACGCGGCGGGTCGGCAAATGTCACGGCGGCTTGACCTCACGTAACGGTGATGTAAGGGGAGCTGGCCTTCGCGTCACGTTGTGCAAGTTGTTGGATGGAATTAATACACGAGTGGAATTGCACGGCTATCCGAAAAGCTGATGCTACTCATCCGCCGTTTATGAAAGAATGCTGCTTTGAGTGGTACGTGGCTTTTAAGAGAGCGTTGCTCCTTCTGTCGGAGACAGCTTGCATGTGGGAAAAGAATGTCATGGAACTTTTCTGTCGTGATCTTGCACAACTTAGATTCAGTCAAACTGACTGAATACAGTCAAACAGTCAAACTGATCAGGTCTGCACCTCGCGATTTGTTTGAGCTGTGTAAATGATGGTGTGAACTATGCTTTCTGCTCGGATAGCAATTATCTCGAACATCTGCGTTGCACTTAGCAATACATGGCGCACGCATGATGCACGTGACAAGAAGCCTGCAGTAAAAAAGCTGCAGCTCACAACGGAGAGCGCATTCACGGCTGGCAATGATATCTCGGGCTCGCTGGTACATTTCAATCAACAATCTGAGCACAAGACCGCGTTATATCCGGCTGTGAGTGATGTGGTACCAACGCAGCGTGGCGTCTCTGCTCGAAACAGCTCCCCTTCGAGGCAGACTGTGCCGCCTGGTTTAAAAGGACGCACGCCATTGGCTGACATCTCTCGCTGCCTCGGGCTGTGACCTTCGTGACCTCTGGGTCGCCCCTCGAAAGGCGTGTCAGTTCTGTGCCCGTGCTCGACGCTGGGTGGTGTCGCAGTGGGGATGTGTTGCGGCTGCGGAGGCCCCTGACAGTGGACATCGTTTCTGGAGCGAGAAGGTGAGCCATGTAGCAGCATTGGAGCGAGAAGGTGAGTCATGTAGCGGCATGGGAGCGAGAAGGTGAGTCATGTAGCAGCGTGGGAGCCAGAAGGTGAGTCATGCAGCAGAATTGGAGCGAGAAGGCGAGTCATGCAGAAGCGCTGAGCTGTGCAACTCTGCTCAGCGTTTCGTTAGTATTATCGGCCTGTTACGCAGGCTGGAAGAGGCTAAATGGCCCATTATACCCACGTGTTGTCGAAAATTTGGAGAAGTAGCATCTGGCCGATGGTGCATCTCTGGCAGCGTACAGCTGTGGCCGTCTGCACCAGCGTAGTCTTGCTACAATGCTGATCACGCCGCAGAAGGGAATGATCTACCACAACAGGTCTGTTGCGGTGCTCGTTGCTGTAGTGGTCTGCAGAAAGGTTTCATAATTTATGAATTGTTGTGGTTCACTTCATCATTTGTAGTATGCAATGGACTGCGTGCACCTGAAATGTTATTTTAGCTTTGGTCCTCGTTTCGGGCCGTTTGAATTGGGTTATTGTAACAGATACTTTAACTCGTGGTAAAAATATTTGTACCGATGGAGTGTGTTTAATAGTAGGAAACTCGTTGAATGTTTTTGTGGCAATGTCTACGAAAACTGGCAAAAATGGTACGGGTGAATGGTATGGTAAATACTCTGTACAGTGGTACGGATACCAAATGGCATGGTACTAAATGGCAATTGACTTCTGAAGCTTCGGGCGCAGAAATTTCTCCAACAGTTTGGGTGGGGATGGGATGGGTGACGCTTGGATGGCTAACGCGCGCTGGCGGCGTTTCAGCCTGTAACAAAGCAGGATGCGGGCCTGCCGGTGCGCCGTGCTGGCGTTTCTTTCTGCCGCGGTCGCCATACCGCTGCAGGAGCACCTGCGCATCCAGTCTGCGTCATCGCCCCAGTCATCAGCGGCCAGTTCGATGTTCGGCCAATTCGGGCCGCCCGACGTCCAGCCGGGCCCGAACGCAACGCCATCTGGTGAGACCGTTTGGAAGGTGAAGTTCGCCCCCGCGGTCCATGTTCGGTTGAGTGCACGTTTGGCGGTGTTGACTACTGCCACGACTTCACTTTTGCTCATGATCCATTGTATCTGTACGACATCGCAAACATTTGCACATGCCTGCCTTTGATCACCTTTTTGTGGCCTTCGCGGTTATTTATTTTTGTGGTCTTTAGCCACTGTTTGTCCCTTGTGTCCATCTGCTGAACGCTGTTGCCGCCCTGTTCCAGCCGGGGGCCACCAGTCTACTGCAGAGCAGCCGGCCGAACGGCACGGGCAGCGGACAACTGAACAGGGCTCTGATATCTCTGCTGGCTCCTGCCCTCCCGACAGCGCCTGCGTCCCCGCCTCGCTGTGCTCGTCGGGTAGGGCCCGGCCTCTCGCGGTTCTTTGATGCCCATTGCAGGGGGGCGGAGGCGGCACTTGGCGTGCCTCGTTTGAAAACATCACTCATTGGGTGTCTTGAATCTCCACACGGTCTTTTAAATGCTCTGTATGCGTCTCGTTACAAGTGCGACGCACTCCATCCATTGTGGCGTCCAATTGCTGCTCGTGTCCAATTGCTGCTGTCTGGTTCGTGAGAAGTATATGGAAGTTGAAATCACTCCAGTACCAGAACTTGAGCACTGTATCCTAGCGTAACAGCAAGGCATTTGGTGAACATTGCTTGCTGGAATGCGCACTTATTGTTGCCCATGTCTACGTTCCGCCCTCGTCAGTCGGTGTCGGACTGCGCCGCATATTGTCTCGCATTGCCCACCTGTTGCAGCGGACGCGATCACCTACGAACCGGACACAAACATTTATCACCCGACGTCGCAGTACCAGCCGGCCTTTACACAGGTCGGGCTATAGCCGGCGGCGGTAGGTGCGGCAGAGCTTTTGTTCTTGGGAATGTCTCCTTGCGTTGGTCCCGTTGGAGGTGCAAGATGGCAGCACTGTATTTGTTTTTCGTTTCTTCTTTATAAATGCTCCCTGCTCAGAGCCATAGTGTACGCGTCTGTCGCGTGACCCGGAGCCGTCCGTTGGCAGAGGTTCACGTGCGGCCAGGAGGCGGCGGGCCGGGTCTGCTGTCCTGCAGCGGCGGTGCAAAGTTCCCAGACTGATCCCGGCACAAGCAACCCCTTCGGCTTCCCATCCACCCTCGGCACCGACGCATTTCAACACCGCGACCAGCCAGACTCTGTCCAGCCTTCTAGCTCTCCCGGGCAGTCGCTCCCGCTACCCCCGCGGCCCTCGGCGAGGCCCGTATACCTCGAGCGGTCCGATTCCCCCGGGCAGTCGCTCCCGCTACCCCTGCGGCCCTCGGCGGGGCCCGTATACCCCGAGCGGTCCGATTCCTCCGGGCAGTCGCTCCCGCTACCCCCGCGGCCCTCGGCGGGGCCCGTATACCCCGAGCGGTCCGATTCCTCCGGGCAGTCTTTCTCAGACGTCCAGTACCCGCCTGCCGTGTCTCAGCAGCCCCTCTCGGGGGGATCTAGCTTCTTCCCCCTCTCCGGAGGATCGCAGTCTGGCTTCCAGGGCTCTGTGCACGTTGGGGCGGGCGTCGGATCGACCGGTCTGCCGCAGTCATTCGCGGGGCCCCTCCCGCCCGCCCACTCCTTCGCCGGTACAGGTCAGGACAGTGTCCCAGGTCCTGCCCAGAACGGGCAGGGCTTTGGTGGGATCTCCCAGGGCGATGGTGCAGGCGGCGTCTCGCAGCACCAGACTCGTGGCGGACTTCGGCAAAATGGAGGCTTCGGGGGACCTGTCCAGAGCTCTGCTCCAGGAGGGTTTTCCCCGAACCAGGGCTTCAGCGTGCCTCAGAGCTCTGGGAGCTCCCACGTCGGCCAGGGACAAGACGGCCGTCTCCCCAACCAGTTCCCGAGCGGCTTGCCTCACAGCCAGCCGGGCGGCCTTCCGCCACGTCCCAGCAGCCTTCCCCCTTCTCGCCGTCCTCCCGCTCGCCCAGTGGCGCCGCTGCCGGGCGCGGGCGGCCGGCCGCGGCGGCTGCAGCAGGTGGTCGTCCGCGGCCAGCGCCACACCGTACCAGAGTTCAGCTCTCTGCTCCGGCTCGAGGGCGGCGCAGAGGCGTTCGTCACGCACGGCGTGAGTCTGGTGCAGCTGGAGCGGCGCGCCGACCCCGACTTCGCGCCGACCGGGCGCCACCAAATGGTGCTGCTGAACGGCCAGCGCTACCAGACCGGAGAGTTTGTGTACGTCTCTGACCCGAGTGACGTGCCGATCCTGTTCACCACCGCCGGCGTGCCCACATCGGTTAGTGCGCGTGAATGCTGCCTGAGTGTGGTGGCATTCGACTGCAGGTCTGGGGCTCACTTACGTTTATGTGGAGGTTGATTTAAATGAAGCGCATACGCGTTCAATCACTGTCTAGCAATGCCTGGGTGCGATGTTTTCGACATTTTTCAAACAAACTTTCACAACGGGCGTGCAGCACCTGATGGTCGCGTTAGTGTTCACCAGAAAATGACTCCCATTTGCAATCCAATTGTTTTACTGAGTGCGGCACGGCGTTTTGCTGGCTCGGATGTTTTAGCCGGCTGTTTTTTTTTTTTTTGCTGCCTCAGTACTCCACCACGGGAGGGGAGCCGGGAGACCTGCAGCCGTTCACTCCGCTGCCGGAGCTGCTGATGTTGGCCGCTGAGGTCCTCCGGTCGGCTGGGTGAGCTGAAGGTGCAGCTGAAGGTGCATCTGCTGTTCCAAGTCATGGGCTCTGGTTTGATGCCTGTTTAGGACGACCACACGGCACAGTAACTTGGAATTAATTATCGTCGCTACCTGGATGGGTTAAATGAGCCAGATAAGAGCGGGCACGTTCTGCACGATCATTGAAGAACTGGTTTCCTGTTAGATGTCCGCGTTTCGAGCCACCGGGCGTCTATTTTGCAGAGACACTGCTGTCACGTCTGGATCTCCGGTGGCGGAAGTGCCCGTGCCTCTGCCGCGTCCGTCGCCGCACGTGCAGCCTCCACGCCTGCCTCCCTCGGCGGCTGTCCCCGGCGCCTCCCAACTGGCCGGCGGCGGCGTGTTCTTCGACACTGACCGGGATGGACCCGGTGGCGATGCCTTTGGACGTCCGGACCACGGCTTCGGTGTCGCGCCCGGGCTGGGAGGGCATCCCGCGCACCCGGGCCTGGGTGCGGCCCATCACGAGGAGTACCACCCGCCGCCGCCGGCGTACGGCCCCCCGCCGTACAGACACCACGGTCACCAGCAGGGTCGCCATCCGCCAGTGCACCACCGTCCGCCGCCCCCGTACGGTCTCTGGCAGCCGCATCCCGCACGTCGGTACCCACCGCCGCACGGGGTTGCGATCCGGCCTCAATTCCAGAGGCCGTACCCGCCCCGGCTGAATCCGTGAGTTTGACTAGAGATTTTCTCCGAGCTGCGTCAATCTTTTTTTCATTGTCTCCTTCATTGCGTCGGCATCCAACAGAATGTCGTCCAATGCATTGGATAGTATTATATTCCCATGTGGTTTATCGAATCGTGTAAGTGCCTAAATAGACCTCGTACACTGCGACTTCCATTGGCCTATAGGCTAGCATAGACCCGTACTGGCCAAGCTAGCTACCCATTCTAAAGCTGTAAGTGACAGTGCTGTCGAATCGCTTTGCAGCAGGTCGCCTGTCGCAGTTAGGTCGGGTAATGCGGTTTCATTGTAGCCTTCCCGGCTTTCGCAATGAAGTTTGTTTGATCTGCCCAGGCTGCTCCCGTTATTGCCCACCACCTGCGGGACCCGGGGCCACCTCTCTGACATCTACGAGTCTGTGTTCGGGGAGTTCTCCGGGCGAATTTCCTCCGGCTACGGGCTGGAGCCGGGCGTAGCAGACTACGCCACCTTCCCTTGGCACGTAAGTAGGGGAAAACTGCAGGGCAAATTTTGCTCACGCGCACAGGCGGGCGGGCCATGGTTCAACATCTTGTTGGTGCAGTGTACGGTGTTTTGTGTATACTAAACCGCGATTGGGATCTCTCGTCTCATTTCTAGTTGCCCTGCGTGATCTCTCTCGTCCTCTCTCTCCTCTCCTCCCCGATGTGATGTGTGACAATGTGACGACATGATGGCCAGGCGGCGGTGCTGCGGCGCACCTCTCGCCACTCGGAGCGTGGACGGAGGCTGGGCGGTCTGGAGTACGTCTGTGGGGCCACCCTGGTCTCCTCTGACATGCTGGTGACGGCTGCTCACTGCGTGCAAGGTCAGATGGTGGGCTGTTTGTCACGGCCATCTGCCGTCATATCTCCCCGGTCTGCGGGGCCGGCTATGAGCGGCCAGCACTGCATGGGTAAACAATGGTTGAAGGGGATGTTTATCTAAATCTATCTGTCGCGACCTATGTCTGTGTTTTGCTTAGTTGCACTTCGCACATTTGCTGGATCTTGCCCCAAGATACCATCCCTGCTTCGTTTTCGCTGCAGGGGCCAGGTGTGGGATGGTTCCTCTCATTCTCCTGTCAACTCCGCCCCTTTTTCTCCCAGGAGATCAGGAGGAAGGCCTGGTGGTGCGGCTGGGAGAGTACAACCTGTATTCTGACCAGGAGGAGCTCTATGGGCCGTACGACGCTGCGGTCCGGGTCATTCACGTGCATCCAGGTACGTGACTATTTCGATTCTGGTATGATTCTGGTACAAGTAAGAATTGTGGTGCCAGGATCGTGGGTCTGGTGGCGGCTTTGGTGGCCCAGCCCGCTGGCGACGTGACGCGCGTCTTGGAATAGCTGGGATCTTGCCAACTTGTCATCCTACGAATGCCGGGCATCTGGCTCCGGGCATCTGTGCTCGAACTCCAGTTCACATTTCGTTACGACGCCTATTTAGGCGTAATGGTGATCTGTATCTGTAAAAATCTGTAATCTGTAACCAATCTGTAAAAAAACATTGCCGCTGGACTCGTATGCCTGTGTATGCAAGTCTCCTGCGGGTAAACTAAAAACATCCCTCCCGAGCGCTGATGTGCGTGTCCGCGGCGCGGGCTGGCATGTCTTTAAGACGTCGCGACTGTGCTCTCCTACGGCAGAGTACCTGTCGTCTGTGTTCCGGGCGGACCTGGCGGTGCTCCAGCTGGCGGCACCGGTGCCGCTCCAGCAGCTGCCCCACGTGACGCCCGCCTGCCTGCCGGGGCCGGACCTCAGTGACGACTCCACCGTCTGCCAGGCGCCCGGCTGGGGCTATGACGCCTACAAAACCCAGGTGCGCGGCCGGCTGCAGAAGCGGAGTGCTCTGGGAGCCAAGTGATTTCCTCTGGGTTCACGTCTGAACTATCCATGATCTCTTTGTTAGCACGCAGATGTTCTTGTCGTGTTCTTGTTCCGCGTTCCTCTGCTGCTTGGAGCGTTTGTGTTTTGAGCTTTGAACTGGAACAGCAGTCTTATCCGGTGCAGCTGACGGCCCTGCCTTGAAGACCTAAACTATTTAAGTTTCACGGCCGCGTAGGTGTGCCAGACTTATCTTGCAGACATTGCAGTGACGCGGGACATCTATGCCGTCGTAGTACCATCAGCGGATTCTGCCACTCCGATGGCCTCGGCGGTCTAGGTTATAATAATCTCGGCGGATAATAATCTCGTAGCCTTCAACCGAAAGGTAATAATCCCGGAACCTGCTGTGACCTGTTCGGGCCTGTTGCGGCCCCAGCTCGAGGACGCGCCGCACGCTCTGAAGGCGGTGACCGTTCAGCCGATCGGTCCAGAGGCATGCGAGGCGGGTCTGCGGGAGAGCGTGCTGGGCAAGGAGTTCCGCCTGCAGAGGGACAGCTTCTGCGCCGCCGGCTCCCACGGACAGGACACTTGTCTGGTGAGTCCTGCTGTCCGACCAGGACACGGCATGCCTGGCCCTTGAAGGCTGGCTGCATGAGTCTTTTGAATGTTACGCGAGGCGTGGCGAGGTGTAGGTGCGAAAGGCCAGTTAAAGCCCCTCTTCCGAATTCTTCAGGATTTGGTAAAGCAGTACAAAGCAGTCCATCGACGCTATGTCACTAACCAGTAGCTAAGTTCTGAACTGAGAAGGTAACTCAATTTACAAGAGGGACATTTTTGATGCATCTACCTAGCTCTGGCAATATACTGCTTTCCCCATACGAGCCCATAATGATAGGTCTCTCCTGCGTTGGCGGCGCGTGTCTGGCTTGTATAGGCCGAACCTGGTGTGTGGGTCGCGTACCAGCGGTGCATTTGGCCACCGACAGGGGGACGGTGGCGGCGGCCTCGTCTGTCCAGTGTACGGCAGTCCGACGGAGAGGTCGCCTGCCAGATATCAACTGGTCGGCGTCACCAGCTGGGGAGTCCACTGCGGCGACGGCAAGCCAGGTGTGGGCTGGTCATGACATTTATATTTGTACTGGCAACTGGTCTGCTGACTAAAGTATTGACGTGCACGCAGACCTGTGGCTTCGGTGATCTGGTAAAATGGGGGGGGGGGGGCGTTATCGGCGCAAAATGTTCCTTTGGTTAGTGCCTGCTGCCACCGATGTCCACGGCTCCATCTGTTAACGCTGTGGGCTCCAACTCTCCCAGTTAAGTTCAGCACTTTTTGACTTATGTCGTAGGTATTGAGTGCAGTAGAGCATGAGCGTTAGTGATGTCCCTCCCTGCAGATTGTACTCTTGATTTCAGGGGTGCCTTGGTTTCAGGGGTGTACGCGAACGTGCACCATCACATACGGTGGCTGGATTCAGTCATCAACAGCTCTCCATTTCGGCACTCTCCGCCGGTCGTCATCGATTGAAGACGTTGACGATGGTGTAATGCCTTGCATGTTTGCGTACGATATTTGGATATCGTTTCTTCCGTCATATCACTTCATTCGCGGTAGATCTGCACCGATCATCTTAATACACGTGGAGAAAGCTGGGAAGTTGGTGCGAAAATTGCATTGATCACTGATAGCGGTTCATTTGCGGCCCGACCACCCAGCTGGTAAGTAGTGGAGAGGCTCGCCGCTGCCTGCCTGCGCCTGCGGCGATCAGCTGTGATGCAGTGCGTGTGATCCAGCGCAGTGCGTGTGATCCAGTAAGCGCGCCCGTGCTGCTGGCTGCATTGGCCGACGATGGAGTCAAAGCGGTGAGTGTTTCCCACTATGATTCCCAGATGCATTTTTGAGTTTCCAAGTTGCGTAACTATGTCCCTTTGTCCTTAATTCCCTTGCATGCCTGCATTGCGGGATATCCGGACGTTATGAGTCTAGTTTTGGCAGTTTCCTAATACTTATACTAGCCAGTAGCTGAAAACTGTACCAGCAGCTCGGCGCTTTATGCTAAGGTCACGTTCTTCTTCCAGGGTTTCCCTCTCTGGACTGTCCAGGTATGTGCATCCTACGTAACAAATCTGGTAAAAAATGATACTATGATGAAAATCCAAATCATAATTGCGTATGCCATGCGTGTACGTGTGGATGGACTTTATGTCCCTGCGAATGAAACCGAGAGCCCGGATATCCTTCGCACCTTTTCCGACATGTGAATAAGTCCATTACTCACTGTAAATGATCATCTTCACCTTTAATGTATCATAATTCTAAATCTGTTATGCAGATCGTAGTTTGTTACCGCAACTTGTTGCTTTGTACAGTCCTTGCGTGACCGGCGGCGGACCTCTGGCCTGGGGTGAAGACTGCCTCGCACCCCCTCGCATTCGGCAGCCCCCCCCCCCCTGCCCGCTGCTGTGCGGGCGCCCCCGGTGCGCGGTCTGCCCACGCGCCCGACTGGAGGGCGTGCGACCCAGCCTTCGCCGCCGGCCCCTCGTCTCGTCCGTCTCCGGTCAGGGTGTGCCGCCTCTCCGGCACTGCTTTGTCTTGCTATCCCGCTGTGGCTCCGACAGAGCGCAGCCCTCAGGCCGGGTTCATAATAGTCAACTACACGGAATCAAAGTGTGATAGTACGGGCTAGTCATTCAGTTCGGAGAAGGTGTGAAGGATATGACGGGGGCTCAGTTTGGCTGTCTGAGTAATGCGTTCGGACGTCTAGCGTGTGACACAGAGCACTCTCGGTCAGCTGTGCCTGGACCTTTGCAGGGCCGAAGCGGAACTACTGGAAGCAAGCTGCCTTGTTGCAGAAATTGCCGTTTTTTGCCAAATTGGTGCCTGATGGGCAAACCCGGTGCCGGAAACCTGTTTCGTCGTCGGTGCTTCGCCAGTGTCCGTGCATGGTAAGCAGGGAATGCTTACGTGTCACCAACTTTTGCAGTATAATAAGCGAGCTCCTCGCTCATACGCGGTCTCACTCACATGCGTTCAAGTCTTAAACAAGGCAGGCAGCCATGATTTCATCGTGGCCAGAATTTCTTACTGTTTTTTTTGTGTTTGATGCTGGAATTCCTTTTCTATTTTTTTTTCGCAGAGCTTTGCGTCAGATCCGCAAGAGGTGCGTTCTGCCGGTATTGAAGTCCATTGATTGTTGCGCACCATATGCTACATATTGTATACATACAGATCTACATCTATATGCAGATATGCGGGTGAAACGTGGTTGTCGGCATATTTAATTCACGTGAAACATGATGGTGCTTAACCCCTTTTGCGTACGAACTTGCTAGGCTGACTTCCTTTTGCGTGCCAATATAGTGATAAATTACCTTGATATAATCGAGAGATGCTTGCCTGACGCGCACGACGTCCCAATGTCGTGATGGCGTTTGTTTTCGTCAAGAGTCCCGTGATGCTTTTGTGTTTTGTACATAATTTGTTTTGTTTATCCTTTTTAACCATGTGAGGGAGTGCCAAATGTTTTGCAAACGCGGCTCCCACACTAGCTGCTCTGACGCGGGCGCCTCTCATTCCAGACATCGCTTAGCGGACCTGAACGGCACGGAGGGCACGTAACGGCGAGCACGCTTTTACTGAAGTGAGCTCTTTCAGGAATAGAAGTGATTGTATAAATCTTGCCTCCGCGGAACTTTTGTGTCTGAACCTATGCCTGCTTTGTGGAAATTCTTGTTCTGCGAGACCCCGAATTTTTCGGAGTGTGGAGAAAGACGGGACCTTGGTGATTTAATTTTTTTTTAGTTTATGGAAATGTATTGTTCCAGCGCAGTCTCGAACAAAACAATATTGAGTTGATCATTGAGCCGCGGAATCACATTTGAGCGTCAATAAGTGCTGGAACTGCTGTAATCGTCACTTATGATCTCTCGCCTTGAACACGGTAAATTTTTACGTGAGTATCAACTTCATCGAAATGATGAAGAGGTTCTTACTTATATAGACCGTTCTTTTTTATCCCATTTCTGTCGCTGTCTGTCGCACATAATGCTAACACAGCTGTTCTTTTCAGGGCTTTGTTCTGGATGCTATATGGGTACGTCCTTCATGGAGTTAAATAATGCACAAGCAAATACTTATGATGAAAGTATGAATTGCATCTATGCTAAGAGCTCGGCATACTATGCGTACCTTTTCCGGAATGTATAAAGGTCCATCGCTTCATTGTAAATAACATCTTAACATTGTGTGTAAGTTGATGCATCCTAATTCAGTGTTGTGCATGCTCTCTAACACCACAAATTCAAGCGAACACTTTTGGCGTTGCCGGTGACCGACATTTTGCCGAACGTGAAGACTGGCTTTCACGCCCTCCTCGGACCCGTCTTGGTCGCTTCCAGTGCGCCGTGCACCCGTACCCGGTGAGGGGGGGGGGGCGAGTGACCCAGCCTTCACCGTAGGCCTCCTCGTCTCCGTCCGTCTCCGGCTAGGGCGTGTCGCCTCTCTGGCACTGCTTTGTCTTGCTGTCCAGCTGCGCCTATGGAGCCAGCCCTTCACGAGGGTAACGAGTCATTCACATGGAACTCGTATGGGATAAGAGTCTAGTCGTAGATGTGCGTTTGTGTATGCTGAGGTATGTTGTCTGTAGCGGTGAGTTTGTGAGTCTGTTCGGTAGAGGTGTGCTGCATATGCCGAGCTCTGTTTGGCTGTCTGAGCCTTGATTATCTTACCTGGTCGCTCCAGAGCAAAGCGTGTTCTCCAGTTGGAACGGGTCTGTTTCAGGGCTCGAGGTAGTCTATACACGAGGAGCAGGCGGCCAGCCATCTGTACCCGGGGTGCAGGTGGCCAGTCCGACCTGTTTGGAAGCTTCCGTCTGAGGAGCTCACACCGGACAGCGTGGCAGCATCGTGTTGGTGCTAAAGGGTGCATAAAACTAGAAGCTTTTCTGGGTATGTCGTGCACTGCACGCTTCGCTACTGCAGCAAATCGCTGCCGGTCCTAAGTGGTGCTAGTAGTCATAATTGTACCTTGGCTGACAGAATGTGGGCCAACAAAGAGTTTATTGTGCACGCATGTTAACGGGTTTTAATCTGTCGTGAATGAATGGAAACTTCCTGGGATGATGAGATATCTATTAAACTCTGTGCATTATCTGACCTCGCAATGGAGCTACATATCAGAGCGTGACAAATGTTCAAAATTTACATTGCATTGTTATTTACTTGCATTACATTGTTGTCTTCGTTGTTTGTCCAGCACAAGCTGGGCGAATTTGTGTGGCGAAATGTATGGGGATATGCAAAAGCAAAGATCGAGAGTAAGAGGGATGGGCGAAGGGTTGTCCCACTCACTTTCCGGGTTTTTGGTACGGAGAGCTGGAGTCGGTCGTGGCACGTACCTCGCGTATATTCAACGAATGTAAATGCATTGGTTATAACGACAGCACTGAATACAGCTGTCCGGGGGGCTGACCTCTCTTCCTTTCCTTCCTTTTCTCTTAAGCTTTTGGCTGTGATTGCGCGCCCTTGTGCATTGCCTGCGGACACCTTTCCCGGCATACGAGGACGTTAATCTGTCTGCAGATTATCGTTGCATGTCGGCAGTCCGGGTTGTTGCTGCATCAGTGACTTCGAGTGGCTCTTGTTTTATGTGCGCTTCTCTGGCCGGGCACCGTTGCCATGCTATGGAGCTGTGCTGTCATTTCCCTCTCATCCTAAGTCAATCCACGGAGCAAGCTGATGCTATTCCCAGCATTCGTCGGCCGTCGACTCTGAACCTTGCTCTTCAGCGTCGGCGGATGTGCGCCGAAATTTGTGCAACAGTTGCCTTAACCTTTCCAGAACTCGGCAGTGACCATTTAAACCAGACGCTGGGCGGGCGTACTGAAGAATACACGGATAGACGTGCGCTCTGTCTGTGCGGCATGTCCTGACGACGCCCTTGGCAACGGTGCTGGCGAACGGTGAGGAAGCTGTTATCCCGTCCCTGCCGAAGCTGGCTTCCTGGCAAAGGCCGGAGGGATATGCCGCAGTACTGCAATGTGGGGACCGGCTGTTTGTCCTGGTGCTAGAACATGCCCAGAAGCTGTCGCTGCTGTTTGTCCTGGTGCTAGAACATGCCCAGAAGCTGTCGCTGCTGTTTGTCCTGGTGCTAGAACATGCCCAGAAGCTGTCGCTGCTGTTTGTCCTGGTGCTAGAACATGCCCAGAAGCTGTCGCTGCTGTTTGCCTTGCCGTGTTTTCCCTTGTATCAGCTGGTGTGTGGTTCGTAGTTGTCGGTTCTATACTTCATATTCTTACACGGTGCTCATATTTCAGGACTTGCCAGCGTCATTCATCTGTAAGTACATGGCTGCGCTGAAAAAAAAAAATGCATAAGGAAACGTGTATGATGAAAAACTCATCCAGTCGGGTCTTTCGGCATGAACACGTGCTGTGAAAAATCGAGAGCTCCATGTCGTGCACTCTTCCTGGCGTGTCAATAGGTCATCACTTCATTGTAAATACTCATAAATCATCTTTGTGTCGGATAATTCAAAATCTGCATGTATGATGTAGTTATGTGTCGCATGAGTATGCGAGTAATGTAGTAGTGAACGTAGTTTTCTACATGCTGTAATACTCATACATGCTGGGAACGCTCTGTACAGTCCCTCGCATGGCCGGTGACTGACCTCTTTTGCCTGAGCTAAGTCCGGGTCACGCCCTCGCATGACCTGCGCTCCTGTGCCCGGGGCCCGGGCGTCTTTCTTTGCCCGCTCCGCCCCGCGCGCGGTACGCCGGTCGGGCGAGCGCTGCGACTCGTGTCTTCGCCGCCGCCCCTCCCCCCTCGTCTCGGTCGGTCCCGGTTCGGTGTCGTCTCTCGGCACTGCTTTGTCTTGTTCTGCAGCTGCGCCAATAGAGCCAGCCCTTCACGCGGTGCCACTGCCCACATCGCAGCAGTCAGCCGTTCGGTCCGGGAGAGGTGTGCTTGATGTGGTGGGCTCTGTTGAACTCTCTGAACAATGCATGTCCGCGTCCGTTGCAGTACGTGCAGGTCGCGTATCAGATGCACTAGCCCTTTTCAGGCCGGGCTGAAGCAAGAACGCGGGGACCAGTGCCTCGTTTGCCAGCGTCGGAAGCTATCGGAGGCCCGCGGCGTTTGCGATGAAGAATGCTGGGCAAATCACTGCTTCTGCCGGGTTAGAACCGTCCATCTAATGAGGTGTGCTGGCGTGGGGATCTACGCCGGCCTGGCTATGCAATTGACCTGTACTCTGTGATGATGCACTGCTCGCTTCGCAATTGCAGCAAATCATAGGTGGTTCCAGCTGGTGCTAGTCCAAATTGCCCGCCTTGTTATTTAGTTTGATCCATGTTATGTTTTGTTAGTCGTGTTTGTGCAAAACTTGCTCGGGAAGCGAGCCAATTAGCCACCTCTAGCTCGTGAAAAGTGGCCTACAGGGAGCCAAATCGTGTGAACTATCTGGCATTGCACTAGGGGTGTCAAATTGGCTTGCTTCAGCTATTTTGACTAGTTTTAAGAGCGCTCTATAGATGTGATCATCCGTGATAAGCCAATGGCGTAGCTCGCGCGGAGCCGTTCCGGTACAACTCGCGTTCAAGGCCCGAGCCTGAGCTACGAGTGGCTGCCGGACGGCTCACGGACGGCCGAGCAGTCATTGGCTCTGTACAGACTAACCTTAAGGACCTGTAAATTTTGTGCATAAAATCGGGCTGCAAGGAGTCCATGCAGGACATTTTCGGCTTTCGCTGAGGGCTACGCTGCAATTTCCAAACATACCTTGCAGGCCGGTTTCCAGAGCACCGACCACCCAGTTCAAAGCAATTTAACCAGTAAACCCCCGACAGGGACCGAAAGCTGCGTGCCACCTCGCTCCCCCGGGGTGGTCGGCCGCGATCAGGTCACTGTCTGGGGAGGCCGATCTTTGAAGAGCTGCTCTCTGAGAGAATCGTGGACCCAGTTGTGTTACCCTTGTACTGGGGGAGCTGGTCATCGGTCTGCGTGGTCTGTTTCAGAGCCTGTGGTAACGTGGGGCATGAAACGGACGGCCGAGTCATCTCTCCCCGGTCAGATGAAGGTACTCTGGTGCATGTTCTTCACACGCGCACAAATGTGCTGCAGAACATATGACTGAATTGAATTTTAAGTGCATGGGCACCGCAAGCTCAGTGTTGCACAAACTCAGTCCGTTGGTTTTTACTGGAATGCTCAGATCTCATTTCCGTGGAGGCTCTGTGCTATCCAGGTACGCAAGCACTCGATCGTTAATTACGCTCGATAAATGCAACCACAGCATGTGAAAGATTACATTCAGCCATCTGATTGTTTCAGCTCGCGTGTCAGTTTCACTCTTCCAACTAAGATTTAATTCGTGACCTCTGTGCGTGTCTCCAGGTTTGACCGCCGTGACCGGTGACGTGACTGTACGGCGTCTGCGAGGACTATGTCGGGGCTCCGGAAATTGCGGCAAAGGACGCGGCTCGGTCGGACAGCCCGCCGATGTCATCTCGGCGCGGGGTGCCTCCGGTCCTCCACTAATAGTCTCTGGGGTCGGCCTGTACTGGGCTCTGTACTGAAGGGACCACCGCGGCAGCGGCGAAGGTCGCCGCCCGGGCAAGCGATGGACGTGGAGTGTTGGAAGTGGCGGTGTGAACGTGAGGTTGAGCTTGAAATGGTCGATAGTTTCGTGTGAGCGGGACGCGGCCGCCTTGCCTTTGCCCTTACCGGGCACAGACGGCGGAGCGGAGAAATCTGACTGCAGTTAATGGCATGCACGCACGGCCGCGCAGAGCTTGGGCCAGTGAGCTGGCGCTGGTTACACGGGGAACTGCGGTCGCAGACGGACGCAGTTGTTTTGCCGTCTGTGATGTATGCTGTGAGCTAACGGGATGTAAGTGATTATTTGGGAGACTAACTGAACGTTGGGTAGGAATATGTGGCCGGTCTTGACCGTACTGGTTCAGCTTTATCTCCACTGAATGCCGTTGAGCCCCGCCCGCCACTTGGCAAAACAGCGCCGCTTCTGTAACTGCGATCGCGACTGCCGGGGGCTGTAAAAGGCTGTTGTGTGGAGTGTAGCTCTTCCGCCTGTGTGTGTCCTGCATGCGTCATTTGTGTGTCGAGCTGGCACTCTCTAGCGGCCGCCTAACTCCGGGCGAAAATACACTCATGAGCGAAGCACCATTTTTCGGAACAGAACGGCAGCGATCGACGATTGAGTTCTTTGGGACAAGATCTCGCCGAATCGAGCACGGAGGCAAACTGAGCGAACACCTGAGCGCTACGGCCAGCCAGCCTTAGTTCGAACCCCGCTGTGAGGCGACCAGCAGACTCTGCAGCACCCCGGGGTGAAAGGCCGGCGGCTGCGCTCCGTGCCGTGTGGTGGAGATCCACGGTTGGCCGGCTGCGCTCCGTGCCGTGTGGTAGAGATCCACCGTTGGCAAAGGCAAATCGGTTAAGCGTTTGATCCTTTCGATTTTCGTTGGGACTGAAGACATTGGGATGTTCAGAATCTACATTCACACCCATTCCAGACGAGTCTGTCATAAATGCTGTAGTCTATATCTGTGACTCAGCTGGTTGGCAAATGGTCGGTGCAGCGTGTTCCACGTCGCACTACATGTGTTTTCAAGAGCAGTTGCCGCTCGGCTTGGAGAGTTCGACGCCTGGGCCGCGTTCCCCATCACCGAGCACGTCGCGCGCAAGCTGCAGCCGGCGTCATGGGTGGGTGCGTCACAACAGTTTCTTCAGCTTCGAGGATAGTGTGACTCGGCCACTTGCGATGCCACAGGCAGCAACTCTGGTAGGTACTCGGCCGATGGAGAGCGCAGCCTAGCGCCCGAGCTGCGTCGCCTGGGAACGCCGTCGCGATGCAGGCGACCCGGTGCTGACCCGGCTGCGCTCTGGGAGGGAGGACGGGCAGCGGTAGCCTGTCTGACCTTGTCACGATCGACTGTACTCTGCAGCGGCCGTGGTTACACGGGAGCCGCCGCACGGCGTCGGCTGCCGCTTCGGGGGAGGTGGGGAGACTGCGTGCGCTGTTGGTCAGCGGCGATTGACCGAACGGAGCGAAATACATAAGCTAAGAGCAGGCAGACAAGCAACAGTCCAAGAACAAGCCGAGAAGCACCAGCCCAAGAACAAACGGGCAGGCGACAGTTCAAGTGCATACGAACTAGCAAGAGTTCACGAACAGGCGGACAGACAACAGCCCAAGAACAAAACGGCAAGTAACAGGCCAAAAACACACCAGCAAACAAGAGCTACACCCGTCGCTCACAAGCGTGAATCCGAACATATCCACAGGTTTCGGCATGTTGAGTCATCATTAGACAATAGCTTCAAGGCCAGATGCCAAACTTGGACGGAACCTTAAGAGCCTACGGCTGCTTCTTATGCGGCGTCGGCAACACAGGTAAGGATGACGTTGAGCCAGAATAAACGGCGACTTTGTAATCGTTCTACGCTTAGTTATTTGGTCTTTGTAAACAGCTCATTGGCTATTTGATGTATTCATAACTTCTACCTATATTGTACTTTAATCGAACCATGTCTTTAGTCAGAAAGTTACACAAAGTTCTGAATGAACCTTAGCAGAGGTTCTTTTTTTGTACTCACCTTATTTTCAGAGATCATCGGAATGTGTTTTAGTCGTTCTGGCTTTACGGCTGCTGGTGTAGTTTCGTTGATCTAGTCGGAGCAAGAAGTGGTGGACATGAGAGATCTACGTGTTTGTAAACGTATCGTACCCTAAGGACGCATCGGCAGCTGAACACTCACGAATTGCTTCGCGACAGCGCGTGCGTCTATTCCATCTTTCAACAGGTGACTGCAAGGTGAATGACCTTTGGACGCAATGAAATACATAAGCATCAGCCCAAGACCACGATCAGTGCCCACGACCTACTGTGCGAGCGAATTACTCGCGGATATGCACACGCCGGCATCGGTGGCTACCGTTTTGAAAACGTGAAACGATCGCCTTCCACAACCGCTCATGGTCTGTCGTAAGACTGTTTGGGAGAGAGAGCCCGCACCCTGGTGTCTTTGGACGCATCTACGGCCGTGATGATGCCGTTGTGGTGCCACGTCACGGACCGCATCGCGCATCACCGACAACGCCGTCGAGTAACTCGAGGTCCGGCTGTGTCCAGGAGGCCTTGCCAGCGGTCTCGGTGGCCAGGCCACCTCGCGACCGACAGCTGCCGAGCAGTCGTGCCAGCAGGTTCGCCATCGACAGCACTAACACGTCCAGCAACAGGCTGATGTAGTCACCCATCTCGCTGACTAGGCTGACCGGCGGGTAGGAACGACGGTCTGTCGTTACTTGTTCTGTGATCTGACCGATCTGATTGATCTGACTGATCTGACTGATCTGAGCTCAACCATGAAGATCGAGCTGTTCAGCACGCCGTCCGAGCGCCGCCCGACGTCGGCGTTGATGGAGTAGAGTTGATATCGGCGGGCCAGCAGGCGACGGATGCCCTGCGTGCTCGCGGAAAACCCGTGCCGCATGGACAGCTGCTGCATCGAATACTCAGGCAGGTGAGCGAAGTCTTCTAGCATCTCGGGAAGCGAACAGTTGAAGGTGTTTGCCCATAGAATGTGATACAGGTGAACTATGCACAGCTTGAGACCGTTGGCCGTTAAATTGCCTTGCGCAGACTCTGGCGGTCGAACACTCGTGATGACACTTCCGGTCGAACTTCCGGATGACACTTCCGGCTCGGACCAATCACCTTGAGGCGTCGGTCGTTGGATCCCCATGATACCCAGGTTCACCCCGATCGCTTGACGCCAGGCGTGGATGAACATGCGGTGGTCCCAAGTGCCTGATTGAAGTCTGTTGAGCGTCACCTCTATCTGCAGCTGAAACTCATACATTTTGTGCAGTTCGCTCAGCTGTCTTCAGATAATGTTTGGCTTGAGGGTGTAGCACAGAGCGGGGGTGGGGCGTCGCCACCCAGGAGCGTCAGGTGTCCATCGCGACCGCGACGCGTCCTCCCGGCCGCGGTGCGCCCTCGGTTGTTCCCGATTGCAGCCGGGGGAACAGCTCTTCACCAACGTGAAGGCTTAGACTGGCCCACCAGCACTCCTAGGCGACCGAGCCGCTGCCGGAGAGGAAGCCGTGCCCTTCCCTGAGACGGTAGCTGGGCGCCCCGCGGACGGCAACAGCTGGAACACAGACCGCCTCAGCTGCCGTGACAGCGACCGCCGTCGAGGTGGGCTCGCCGAGGAACAGCTGCAGACACTGCCAGTCGGCCAGCACAACACGGCCGAGCACCAGCAGGGAGCGAGCGCCAGCCGCCGGGGTCCGAGGCCAGCACAGCACAGCCGAGCACCAGCAGGGAGCGAGCGCCAGCCGCCGGGGTCCGGGGCCAGCGCGGTGCCCGGGCCATGGTAGCAGGAGCCCGCTGGCGCGTCCAGCAGGGCGGGTTGTAAGGAGCCTTGACCCTTGCGCCGCCTGTGCTACCGCCGTCACGGACCTTCGAGCATAGACACAGTGCAAGTGTCGCATGGCTCTCTAGCAAGCGCACCCTTGAGCGGCACTCCGGCTCTCTAGCAAGTACACCCTCGAGAGGCACTCTGGCCATCGAGCGGTTCAAAGAATGTTTTGTCTGTTGGGTTTTGTCTCGCCATGAACACAATTCTCAGAAAATTAGAGCGATTGCAGATATTTTTTTAAAGTAAGGAACGCTTTTCCACTTGATGCATTTTGAACAAGTATCTTTAACAATTATATACAAAGTTTTATTATCGACACAAAATTCCGTAACGAAGCGAATAACCGCGGGCACGGGCATCCTTTTCGTACCAGTAGTTGTAAAGATGATGAAAAATACAGCGACGACTTTGTTGTTAAGATCATCAAACTCAATTTTCAAAATGCATGACTGGTTTGATTTTTGAATAAGCATTATTTTTCAATTTTGTTTTTGTTTTGCTTTAACTTGGACCTTATGAAAAACGTAGCGTACATGTCCATGGCGATCCATCCAGCGAGCACCGAATCGGTCCTCCCGCACACAGCGGTCGGTAGCCCCTCTTCCTCCCTCTAGAGTCGGTCCTCCCGCACACAGCGGTCGGTAGCCCCTCTTCCTCCCTCTAGAGTCGGTCCTCCCGCGCGCAGCGGTCGGCCGCCGCTCCCCTCCATTCAGAACCGAGTGTTTGACGCGGTCCCAGGATCCACCCAGGGGAGGGGAGGGGCAGCTGCTGATGCGGATTCAGGCTGGATTCCATTTTCACACTAGTTATTTACGAAGGCTGCGGAAATCTGGGCCGATTGTGCGTGAGTAAGATCGCCGAGCGATACTTGGCCAGATACTTCATTATTTCTCCTTGCTGACAGCACCGGCGTGTGTATGTACTCCCGGGGTGTCAGGGAGCTGCAAAACAGTGGTTAGAATGAAGTGCTTCTTAAGCGACCGCCATGCTTGCCATCAAGGACAGCTCACCCGAAAGCGCGAGGCCAGTTAAATACCATTCGCGCAGTGCAGCGCACACGAGATCAAACGAGAGCAGCAGCGCCGCCGTTGGCACCTGATGCTCGCGCCCAGCAGCCCGGGATCTCTTCTCAATGCGCAAAGTCAGACCTGCTCTTATCCGACTAATTTCCGGAGACGGCGATAACAGCAGAACAGCTAGTGTATACGTGAGTCGGGCCATGCACTATCATTTCGCATTGTAACAACGGAAGCGGCTCGTTTGCCTCAACAAATAGACTGGAGTTGGGACTGGCTCCAACTGCCTCAGTTGCAATGCGTATTTCATCGTATCGATAATGTATTATTAAAGGCCTTATTCCTCGGAGAAAGAGCAGAAAATGGAAATATAAATGCGTTGATATTTCGACAACATGTCTTTATCGAAATGAATAGCAAAAGTGAATGAAAACACGAGGAGAAGCCACATTCTAGATTGGATCGGAATTAGTGCCACGTGCAGGAGAAGCCGTGTTCTGCGGTCAACACCAAACGTCATATTGATAACGACTTTGAAAAGTTGCAATCCTTCAAGCATCTTTCTGTGAGCTTTTTTCAAATGCGAAACATGTGTTGTTCTGTTGTCGAACACTAGTCCAAGAAAACGTGCCTCGGGCTACCTAACAGAGTTATACTCCATGACTAGTATACATGTATATTATATATATATATATATATATATATATATA